AGCAGGAGGAGAAGGAGCAGGAGGAGAAGGCAGAGGACGAGGAGGAGGAGGAGGAGGAGCAGGAGAAAGAGGAGGAGAAGGCGGAGGACGAGGAGGAGGAGCAGGAGGAGGAGGAGAAGGAGGAGGAGCGCAAAGAGCTAGCACGGAGGAGGTGCGGAGCAGAACCAGCGTAAACCTACGATGCATCAGCCACGCTACAATACACCCTCCCGTCCCAAGTCCTCTCGTTGCATGTCCCTACAAGCTTTCCTTTCCGCTATAAGAAGCATCCGTCTTGACCGCGCAAGCTTACACTTGTGGTGATGAACTTCGGCTTCGAGGACGTCTCAAGCGAGAGCTCCATTCAAAACAGAGCCGTCCCCAATTCGCGCAGTGCTACGCTTATTGAAGTTTCGGGTGGTTCAGATGTTAGGCAAGCGAGACTCCCATTTTGATCAAGAGCTGTCCTTCATCATTTGACGTGTTCCAAGCAAAGGGTGTGCGCGGGACTCTGGCGAGAGCTCCGTTTTGTAAACAGCTTGTGTTCCATCCTTGTGGCTGTCGTGAAGCGAGCGCCCATCTCTGAAAAGGACCGCTCTCATATTTGACAACTGCTGCAATATTGGAAATCGAATGGACGCAGCGCTAAGGCGATAGCACCATTTTAAAAGTCGCCTGTCTTCCATCCTTGACACTGCTTGACACTTTTACGACCAATGCGCGTTGTGTCAAGTCGATCGATCGCCCCAGTTTGACATCGACCTGTGCTCCCTCCTTGTAACTTTTGCAAGCTTTTAAAACGAATGAACGCGGGGCTTTTGCGAGAGCCACATTTTGAGAAGGAGTCTCCCTCCATACTTGAAGCTGGTGCGAACCTTTGTGACGAATGCGCGTGGCGCTCAGGCAAGAACCCCACTTTGAAAAGGAGACGCCCTCCATACTTGTAGCCAGAAGCTCCTCTTTGCAAAGGCGACGCCGACGGCGACGCCGACGGCGACGACGACGACGACGACGACGCCGACGCCGACGCCGACGCCGTCGCCGCCGCCGCCGACGACGACGACGACGACGGCGACGACGCCGCCGACGACCACGTCGACGACGACGCCGACGCCGACGCCGACGACGACGACGACGACGCCGCCGCGGCCCGCAAGGAGCCCTGCTGGCCGCCCTCCTGGCGGCGCCGGCCTCGGGCCGGGGTGGCCCGGCGCCGGGGCTGCGCGCCCCGCGGCCCGGCGGCGGCCCAGGGGGCGGGCGGGGACAGTTGATGGACAATAGGTTCGAACCCTTGCAGTGGGGGAGGAGCAGGAGGAGAAGGCGGGGCAACGTCAGGGGAGGATGAACCGACCCCCAATGGCCCATTCTTCACCTCCTGGGGCGCGATAGCCCACCTCGCCCAGGAGCATGCGGCTGCGCACTCGCGGGCCTGCCGCCGAGGTGTGGTCGGGTGTCGCGCCGCCTGTTCTGGCCCACTGCTTGGGGGCCCATGCCAATGAACACCCTGCTTGCCTCCAGGGTACCCTGGGTCTCTTGGGTTTCGATGGTTTTGCGATGAAGAGCGCGACGTTCCCACACCAGAAATCGAGGGACGTCCTGGGGTCTCAGGGTTGGGTTTTTTGTGGAAGGTTTCTTGTGGTCGAGCCCCCACTGTGCACATGCAAGGAGAATTCTGAGAATCCCCCCCCTCCCCCGACATGAACGCTGATCTCCGTAGAGGCGGTGGTGCTTTGGGGGTTCAAGTATTTCTGTCCACTCACGGCCCCTCCTTCGTCACGCCCAGTATGAAGTCCGGGGAGTGTAGGGGTGCATGTTCGGGCGCAGGGTTCGAAAACAATATCCATGTACGGGAGGGTAAGGGTTGCGAGTTGCGAGTTGTCCCACGTGGTGGCCGAAACGAATTCCGAGCGGCGCTGCTGCTCAGCTTTGCGAAGAGGCTTGGGCCACTTACCCTCGATCAATCAGGATGCAGAGTCCTTCCTCTGAGGAGCAACCATCTGCGGTGAGGGGGAGGAGGGGAGGAGGGGAGGAGGGGAGGTGGGGAGGAGGGGAGGGAGGTGGGGGGGGAGGACGGAGGAGCGGCGAAGTGGACGTGGAAGGCATGATGAGAAGGATGGGGGGGAAGGAGGGGGGAGGAGGGGGAGGGGGAGATGGATAGGAGGAGGAGGAGGAGAAGGAGGAGGGGCATGAGGAGGAGGATGGGCATGAGGAGGAGCACCCCATTGCCGTCAGTCCCGGGTCTCGCGGAGGAGGAGGAGGAGCAGGATTGGAAGCTTCGAAATTCGCCCGTTGCAATAGCATTGTTCTGCGCTGCTGAAGATTGATTCGGCCGCAATCTGCAAAACTCGCTCACCTGCGTCCTGGCGTGATGCGCTGGCAAGTTCAACAGGGGGCCTTGCCACCTGTAGATGCCTTTGGGGCATCATAATCTAAGCAGCCCCTCCCTCCACCCTCTTCCGTCTATCCTCCACCCAGGAGTTGCCAGAAGTTGCGCGCATGGAGTCTGGGTAGTGTTCAACATGTGGCTCTCGCGTTGGCAGCGCGCACATTCGCGTAGCAGTTTTCAGCATCGACACGCATGCACGGCGACTCTTTTTCTAGGTGGGCCTTTGGCCTGATATTTATTTAGAGCTCACGGCGAGAAGTTGATCCTCGTGTGCAGATGGAGGGCGACCCGTTTTCAAATTGGGGGTGTCGCCAGTAATTTTCTTGTCAAGCTGGATGGCCAGAGGTTGTTATGCGCAATGCGTGCACGGATGGAAGGCGGGTGGTGTTTTTTCCCCAAATTGGGTCTTGCCCGGGGGGTGGCTGGTGGCCGGTGGCCGGTGGCCGTGCAGTGGGGTGCGCGGCTGGCTGCTTGACGCGCGGGCCATGTCTCTTCGTGCAAGTGCGGAGGTTGGCAGCACCGTGAATCATCGCGCACATTTCTTGGTGCAGCCTCCACATCGTAGCGAGCACCATTGCGAAGCAGATCGCGGGAAGCAGCACCACATACATGTATATATATATATATATATACATATATATATATACATATATAATATATATACATATATATATATATATATATATATATATATATATATATTCATATACATGCACATATATATATATATTTATATATGTATACGAGGTTTCTGTAGCCATGTGGCTCAAGGATTAAGAATCAGCACGTGTGGCCCGATGCTGAGAATGGGCACTGCATCCAGCAACCGCCCCGTGCTCTCTGGGCGTGCGTGCCGCTGGGGAGAGAGGATATCGGCGTCGCTCCAACCTACGATTTCTCACCACCCACCAAACCACCCCAACCCGACCCGAAGGCTCAGATTTACCCTCGCTTTCCAGTGTGGGGTGGGGTGGGGGGGAAACATCGGAAAAAAACACATGTGGAACCCTTACCCCCCCCAACCCGAAATTCGGGTCTTCGGGTTGGGTTGGGGTGGTCTGGTAGGTAGTCAATTTCTATGTGTGAGACGCGACCCCCCCAGGGGCGGCGCGCGCGCGCCGGGAGATCTCGTAGCAGAGGCGCCGTGGCGGGCCCTCTCTGGCCACGCCGCTCGGGAAACGATGTACCACAAGAGGAGGAGGAGGAGGAGGAGGAGGAGGAGAAGGAGGAGGAGGAGGAGGAGGAGGCGGAGGAGGAGGAGGGAGGGGGGAGGAGGAGGGGAGGAGGAGGAGGAGGAGGAGGAGGAGGAGGAGGGGGGATGGGTCTACTATATCTTCGGGTCGGGCGCGCGCCTCCGAGGAGGACGCCTGGCACTTGCATTGTCCTCGTGCGGCCCCGAGGAGGGCGCTGCGCGGCAGCGCCGCGGCCGCCGTGGCCGCTGCGCTGGCGCTGTGCCTGCGCTCCGCGCCGCTGGGGGCTGCGCCGCCGGGGCCCTCCGCGTGCCCGTGTAGTGGTGCGGCGGGGCCGAGGCTTACGTCGGGCCTGTCCCCCTACAGGGGGACTCTCGACGAAAAATGAAACATACCCCAAGAATGCCCCCCAAAGGTCAGAAAATATTCAAAAAATAGTCCCCAGACTATTTTTGGCATATGTTTCGATTTGTTTTTGGTGTATGTTTTATGTTTCGTCGAAAATCACTCTGTAGGGGGACAGGCCCGACTTAATGCGAGGCGGCCGGCACGCTGCGGCATGATGCACGGCGGCCGCGGCGCGGAGGCGGCGGCAGCCGGCGCCACGGCTGCGCCCGCTGGCGAGGAGCGGGGTCGGCTGCTGCGCCTGGGCTGCGGCCCGGCGGAGTCGGCTGCTGAGCCGGGGCAGAGCGAGCGGCAGGAGGGTGAACTTTTTTGGAGGTCCGCGCGGGTCTTCAGAGCGTGAATTACCTACCCCGCTTTCGCTTCCAGGCAAAACCAAGTCATACCACGCGCCTCCTCGTCAAGCGGCCTGACCAGCGCAGGCCGTAGTTTGGCATCGTTTGGTACCTCTTGGAAGCGAGGGTGGTCAAAAGCGAGGTAGGTTTGTTTTCCCCCTAGGTCTGTCGGATCTGCGCAGGATCCCCCTGGCGGCGCCTCTGGCGCCGCACCTGGCGCGCTCCGCGCGCCAGGGAGGGGGGGGGACAGCGCAGGGCCGACAGATCCGCGCGGGCCTCCGAACGTTTCGGTGCATGGCGCTCTCCGTCTGCCAGCCAATCGGCGGCGAGCCCGGGGGGAAGGGAAGGCCTTCTCGGAAGGCTCGGATGTTAGATATTACATGTTTTTTTACGTGTGCTTTTTATATGTTTTGGAGTGTTTGCCATATGGAGCATCGGGTTTCTGTTGTAAGGCTTGTGATGTTTCTGGTTGTTTGTTGCGGGGTTGAATCTCCTGAACTAATTTAAGTAGCAGTTCCTCAAATTCCGGAATACTATTGACAAACTTTTTGGGTTTGGTACATAATTCACTTCGGAGAAGCGTTCTAAGCCTTCCCCGGAGACGCCGGAAACCTCCCAGGAGGCGCGAGGGCCTCTGAGAAGCCCCGCCCTCTGCTGATAGGGCCCTCCCCTTCTCACTTCCCCCGCTCGCTCGCCGCCGAACACAAGATGCGCGAGGGGGCGGTGGCAGCTGTGGTCGAGAAGGGTCCCGGGCGGCCAGATCCCACGCCGGCGGCGCGGGCAGGAGAAGCCCGCGCCGCGGGCGCGGGGCACGAGGCCGAGCCGGCGCTGCTGCAGCAGGGGTGGGGCGGCCTGGTGTTCGAGCTCGGCGTGCTGTGCACGGGCGTCTACGTGACGGCCGAGGTGGCGGCATCGCTCGGGCGTGCGTGTTTTTTTCCCAGCCATCTCCTGTGGTGTGGGGCCGTCTTTTGGGAGAGGCGGTGCCCCGCGTTCCTCTCCCCTCCTCTCCTCTCCTCTCCTCCTCTCCCCCCCTCCTCCCGTCACCATCCTCCTCCTCCTCCTCCTCCTCCTACTCCTCCTCCTCCTCCTCCTACTCCTCTTCATCATCATCATCATCATCATCATCATCATCATCATCATCATCATCATCATCATCATCATCATCATCATCATCATCATCATCATCTTCATCATCACCCGTTTCAGCACACCCCTCACACGTTTTGTGGCCCCATAGGGAGCCCCACCGAAGGTCCCAGTGCTACCGTCCGCATGCGTCCCCCCTTCCCAGTACAGCGTTTTGTGGCCCCCTCCTCCCTCCTCCTTGCGTTTCACCCACCGAGTAGAGCGTTTTGTGGCCCCATAGGCAGCGCCACCGAAGTTCCCAGTGCTACTGTCCGCATGCGTCCGCCTCACCTAGTACGGCGTTTCGTGGCCCCCTCCTTTCTCCTCCCTGCGTTTCACCAACAGAATACAGCGCTTCGTGGCCCCATAGAAACCCTACCGAAGGTCCCAGTGCTACCTTCCGCACGTCTGCATGCGTCCCGCACACCCAATACAGCGTTTCGTGGACCCACAGGGAGCCTCACCGAAGGTTCCAGTGCTACCGTCCGCATGCGTCCCGCACACCCAATACAGCGTTTCGTGGCCCCATAGGGAGCCCCACCGACGGCCCCGTCCGCATGCGTCCCGAAAACGCAATTTGGCATTTTCACACCCAGTGCAGGGTTCCGTTGCCACATAGGGAGCTCGACCGAAGCCCCAGTGGGACCGTCCGCATGCGTCCCGAAAACGCAATTTGGCATCTTCACCTACCCAGTGGCCCCATAGAGAGCCCCGCCGAAGGCCCCAGTTCCACCGTCCGCATGCGTCCCCCGCACACCCAATTTGGCATTTTCGCCCATCCAGTACAGCGCTTGGGTGGCCCCATCGGGAGCTCCACCGAAGCCCCCAGTGGGACTGTCTGCATGCGTCCCGAAAGCCGAATTTGGCATTTTCACACCCAGTATAGCGCTTCGTGGCCCCATAGGGAGCTCCACCGAAGCCCCTTGTGGGACCGTCCGCGTGCGTCCCGAAAACCGAATTTGGCATTCCCACCCTGTACAGCGCTTCGTGGCACCATAGGGAGGTCCACCGAATCTCCCAGCGGGACCGCCCGCATACGCCCCACACCCAATTTTGCATTTTCACCCACCCAGTACAGCGCTTGGGTGGCCCGATCGGGAGCTCCACCGAAGCTCCCTGTGGGACCGCCCGCATGCGTCCCACATACCCGATCTGGCGTTTTCGCCCACCCAGTACAGCGTTTCGTGGCCCCATCGGGAACTCCACCGACGGCCCCAGTGCTAGCGCCCGCATGCGTTCCCCCCCACCCAGAGCAGCCCTTCGTGGCCCCATAAGGGAGCTTCACCGAAGAAGGCATTCACAATTGCGGTACCCACAACTGCATATGACTGGGTCCTTCGCCAGGACAATCTATCTCGGCCAGGACCATCGAGGAGGATCTTGGACCATCTTGCGGGCCGCGCGCACGGAATTCAGAAATGCACGTGGAGTGGACGCCCGAGCGATGGCAAGGTGATCGGCGTAGAGGAGCTGGGGGAGATGCTGGCGCCCCTGAGCCGCTGCGTGCCCATGTTCCCTTGCCCGGCCTCCCCGGAGGTCCCACAGTTCGGGGCCGCCGGCCCACAGGCCTGAGCCCGCGCGGGCGCGACAAGCGCCACGGCGCCACGAGATCGGTGGGCCGAACGAAAACCGATCAGATCTCATATCATACAGTCGACCCGCAGAGTAAGGATAGGCATCCTTCCCGAGGGTGCCCTTGCATCCCTGCTTCCTGGGTCCATCCTTGGACACTTTCGTTGGCCGCGCCCCGCTCGGGAAGCTTCGAAATGGGCGTCCGAGGCCCTTGCATCCTTATCGCGCATCCTTACTCTGCGGGTTGACTGTACCGTATACAGATACGCACGGCCACATCACAGCACATCACGGCCCATCCCGCCCTCATTCTTGGGACGTTGACGAGCCTCGGAGGTCTCTCGGGAAGTCTTCTGGGAAGCCCTCGGAGGCCTCGGAGCTTCGGGCATCCCGCCCATCCCGCCCCTCGGAGGTCTCCTGGGCAGCCTCTCGGGGGCTCTCGGGGGCCTCTTGGCGGTCTCTTGGGGTCTCTCGGGGGCCTCTTGCATGCGGGCCACTCGGTGGCCTCTCAGGGGTCTCGGGGCCTTCCGGGATGGTTTGCCTTCCAGCGGCGGGGGGGAGCGCTCGTTTCTGGTATCGGGCCCTCTTGGGGACCTCGGTGGCCGTCTTGGGGCGAGATTGGCGGGCACATGTATTAAGATCACGTGCGAGTGCTGGTGGTCAGTGAAGTTGTTTCGCGCGGAGACGGCAAGCTGTGCGGCATGACACCGCCCAGACACTTCGCTCGTCCTCCGAGAGCCAGCCACAAGTAGAAGGGCGCTTGCACATTCGATGGTCTGTCGACCTTTCCGCCGTGGCCGAGACACGTTGGACGGTTGGGGTGCTACTTTTTCAATGACTTTGGCTTTCTGTGCCGGCAGTGCCCGCCCCAGGGGTCTCCAAGACGGCACAACACTCCCAAGGCGGCTCCAGTACGGGCCCATGGGAAGGTTCGGTGCTCCACAGCGCTTCGAAGGACTCGGGAGAGGCTACGCGACCAGCCCCAATAATGCCGATGAGCGCCTCTGAAGTCCCGGAACTGGGGATTCCGGTTCCCATCTGCAGTTTTCGCAGTGCTCAGTGCTGCGAGCTCGAAGGGCCCTGAGGGCACTCCACTCTTTGACTCGCGGCGCGGTGGCGGATCCGAATGGGATCTTGCACGGCGGCGATGCTGAAGCTTGGCGCCGGCGCTTCACATCGGCGCATGCCAGGCCGTCGCCCTCCCCGTGGGCCTGAGCTCGCACCCCTGATGGCCCGCATCGAGGCCCGAAGTCACCAGCTCTGCACCCACCGCGACTCCGAAGCCTTCACCCCCCCCTGCCGCCCTGTCCGCCCCCCCCCCCGCTTCACACCGTGCAGGGGAGGCACTCTCCAGTGCCAGAGCCGCGCCGCGGGCCCCCTCCTCCCTTTCCCTCCTCCTCCTCCTCCTCCTCCTCCTCTCCTCCTCCTCCTCCTCCTCCTCCTCCTCCTCCTCCCTCCCTCCTCCCTCCTCCTCGTCGCTCCCCCCCCCTTCCTCCCCGCCTCCCTCCCCCCTGCGGCTCCCTCCAGCCTTGCTCCCCCTCCTCCTCTTCCGCCCACCTCCCCTCGGCTTCCGCCCCCTTTCAGCTCCTCCTCCTCCTCTCCCGCCTCCGCCTCCTCCCCGCTGGGCCCGGGAGGGGCCAGGCGCGCCCGCGGCGCCCTCGCCGGCGCACGGTGCCCCCACTCCTCGCGCCCTGGCGGCGCGCCAGCGGCGCGCGCGGCGGCGGGGCGGTGCGGGCGGGGCGGCGGGCGGCGGCGTGGGACAGGCGCGCCGCGCACGCTGTCCGGCCTGGAGGCGGAGGAGGCGGAAGAGGAGGAGCTCACGAGGAGGAGGAGGAGGAGGAGGAGGAGGAGGAGGAGGAGGAGGAGGAGGAGCTTACGAGGAGGAGGAGGAGGAGGAGGAGGAGGAGGAGGAGGAGGAGGAGGTGGAGGAGGTGGAGGAGGAGGAGAGGAGGAGGAGGAGGAGGAGGAGGAGGGAGGAGGAGGGGGAGGAGCAGGAGGAGGAGGAGGAGCATGAAGTATTGATATTGATAGTTTTCAAGATTTCCAGCTTTCCATGTTCTTCCGCGCGGGTTTAGGGACGAATGGTCGAGCGCATTCCGTCGCGCAGGTTCTTTACGTGATGTGCGCGGTGCATTTTTCGCGCATCGGAGCGCCTTCGGAGATTCCAAGCTGCATGCTGCGTTGCTCTTGGGGAGTCCGCGGGTCGCAGCTGCCGTGGCGCTGTTTTCGAGGTGACCCCTGTGAGTGCTGTTCGCGTGCGCGACGCGCGGCGCGCGCTGCGCCCAATCGCGCGCGGCGCGGTGAGTTAATCAGCCAGCCGCGCCCGTCGGACCGCCCAGAAATTATTTCTGGATTGTAGAATGCTTCAGAAAACGCTTCCGTTTTTTGGCGCAAGCGGTTCCAGAATTTTTCAAAAAAGGAGCCTGGAACATTTTCACACAGCAGTTGTGAGGGGTGGAATGCGCCCGCCGCGCAGGACATCTGAAGAGTTCTGGAATCCGGAATTTTTCAAAATGGATTCTGGAATTTTTCAAGATCGACCCCGGCATTTTTCAAAATCGATTATGGTATTTTTCAGAAAGTAGGCCAGGCAATTTCAAAAACGTTCCCGGATTTTTCAAATTTACCCCCCGACAACTTTCCAGAGACGCGCGTGGTTTGCCTTACCAGGTCTTTGGAAATCCGTCGAGGCGCGCGGTGCGCGGCGGCGGGCGATGGGACGGTGCGCGCCTTCCCCCCCGCGCTCGGCAACGAGAAGGGGGATTAGCAAGTGCCAAATAGCCCCCTGCGGCCGACCACTCGATTGCGAATGGGTGACCGACCAGAGTAGACAATACTCGACGCAAAGTGTACCCCGCGCGAAGGCTGTTAGAAATCCCGGAACCCCCGGAACGTATCAATAGCACGTTGTGTCAATATATTCTTCTCGTCCTAAAGGAGGAAGAAGAGGAAGAGGAGGAGGAGGCGGCGGCGGAGGCGAAGGCGGAGGAGGAGGAGGACGCGGATGATGATGATGATGATGATGATGATGATGATGATGATGATGATGATGATGATGATGATGATGATGATGATGATGATGATGATGATGATGATGATGATGATGATGATGATGATGATGATGATGATGATGATGATGATGATGATGATGATGATGATGATGATGATGATGATGATGATGATGATGATGATGATGATGATGATGATGATGATGATGATGATGATGATGATGATGATGATGATGATGATGATGATGATGATGATGATGATGATGACGATGATGATGATCATGATGATGACGATGATGATGAGGAGGAGGAGCAGGAGGAGGAGGAGCAGGAGGAGGAGGATGAGGAGGAGGAGGAGCTTACGAGGAGGACGGGGGGGGGCGGAGGATGGCAGGGTAATGGGGGGTGCCGCTGGCGCGGGTGCGCCAGCGCGAGCGCAGCAGCAATAGGAGGGTTCTAGGATCGTAGGGCTCTAGGGTTTAAGGCCGGCCTCGAGCGTGCCCAGAAACAGCGCGAGGTTCAGGCAGAGAGAGAAAGAGAGAGAGCCACCGACGCGACGGCGACGACGAACGGCGATGGCGAGGACGAGGACGAAAGACGAGCGAGCGCAGCGACGACGGATGACGACGGCGACGGTGGCGAGGCGACGAACGACACAGACCAGGAGAAGGAGCAGGAGGAGGAGCCCCCCCCTCCTAGTCCTCCCTCCTCAATCCTCGTTCTCCTTTCCCCCCCCTCTCTCCATCCCTGCTTCAGCTCCTGTCGAGGGGCAGCAAGGCCGAATCATCAGCACAGGGTCTCGGAGGTCTGCGCGGAGATCTCTCGGGCCAGCGTGGGCTCTCCCTCCCCGTACCCATCCAGCGCCGCCGGGTCCGGGGAGGGTGCTGGCTCAATGGATCAGCACGGGCTTCCGACAATTTGCTCTCCCACGGGACATGCTGGGGCTGGAACATTCGATTACAGGAGCTCCCGAACCGCCTCGTCAACCCTGCACACCATGGTCGCCAGGACCCAAGTATCTTGGGTGGCCCCCGAGAGTCCCACCTCGCCAGTCCGCACCAGAGAGGCATCATTGCGGTACGCCGTCCAGGCGTTAAACGTCACGTTGCCCACACACACACATACACACCTGAAGTATACCTCGATTCAAGAGCATATGCCAACACGAGATACCAGCCACAAATCAGTACCACCCACCAATCACATACATCAATGATGGGTGCCAGTAGTATACCACGATGGCGCACATGAATAACTCTCATCAGCAAATCAGTGCAGATATGCAGAACATAGATGAGTCATACACCAAGAGCTGATGTCAATTACCCATCGGTCGTTGAAAGTAGGATTGGTTCGATTTCCAGATCTCAATATATGGTTGGCGCCTTTTCTACCTCAAGAGTCGAACCGCTGTCCCTTTTCCATCCTCTTCAGGGGGCGTGCAGGAGTCCATTCTGCTTCCTATGCTTTTTTACTTCATGCGTCTACCCACTTCTTCCGACCGATGCGTACACCGCTTCGACTAAGTAAGACCATAATCACATATGTGTATGAGCAAGCAGTGACATAGGTCAACCGCGACCGTGACCACCAAACATCAATGCCGTGCAACACACAGCCATTAGCCACAAGCACATCCAACTCTCAAAGGTAGCGCACACTTATTACTGTACATCAGGAACACACGTCACTACGACACTGCCAAACATCAGTACCATCAATTCAACACGAGCATGCAGTAGCAACGTGGAACATGACATCCTACCGTACCATACGTCAAGACGGACATTCCGAACGAAACATGATACATCTTTAACATATGCCAATCACATGCAACAACAATGAGCACTCGCCACGACACACCAGCAACACACAAACACCAATGACACACACACACACCAGGGGCTTACAGTAACAGCGTACACTAAGACTAGACACCATGTGCATACTCCAGTCACACATATCTGTAACAGGCACCGAGCATAC